AACAACTAAACGAATACCTTATATTTATTGTAAAAAATTCTAACACATGAAATATAGGTGTTGAGTATATTATGTGAAAAGGATTTAAGGGTCTCACCATGTCGTTACTACATCTGATTTGCTCTATTTTACGATCGTGCATTTTGAAAATAGCTTTCAGCGTAATTTCTATTGCAAAATGCTCAATTCCATGGCTGTCTTGTCCAAGCCACATCACTCCTCTCTATATACTTTTTATAATCCATCTAGTGTGCGAAGACAAAGGATGCCTAACGCTGATCTTAACAGTCCGATTGCACAGAAATCCATAAACTCTGCGTCGAGCGACTTGACCTATATGTCTTCGCATGGAATACTATGAATACGCGTTTCATTTGCCAGTTGCTTGAGTGATGCAATGGTTGAACGTGGAAACAGCTTGTTTATACGTGACTTGTGCTGCTTTTCCAGAAAAAGAGATCGTTCTTGACAATGTTGCATACTGTTGCCTGGGTCATGTGGGTAGAATTAGTTAGTGATCATTGTGTTTGTGGATTCTCACCTTTTAGAAGAAGCTGCGGTTTGCTAGCGTGTCTGGGGTACGACTTTTTGCAAGTATCCTTCAGGATAGTCATGGTGTTTCAAGATGATCAACATTCTTTTGTTTTTAATGTCATTGAGTATAAGGGATATTGAGTATATCCGTCTTAGACATTCTAAATCACCGATCTGAACACATCGTTATTATTTGAGTATATGGATATTATGCTTCCAAAAAAGAGATTTTGTGGCACTACACCAAAAAATGTCAACACATAATTCTGATGCATGTCGCTCCGCCTCGGCTTTACGTCGTTGGTAATTGTCTCATGTCTTCTGATATCTTAATATAACATACTCAAACATCTGTATTATTACACTTTCCATGAAGCACCATTGGTTCATAAAAATTGTTTGGAAGGAGGTTAACATTTTGTTATTATGATATTTTCATATTACATATTACTTGATTTTATTCTTGCGAACGAAGATTACTTCCTTTATTTAAAGAAATTACGTGTTACATACTATAACGTTTGACAGTTGATATCAAGACATGATAAATGTAGCTTCAGACTCAATTTTTGAATCTAGAGATTAATATTACTGTGTGTATATATATCTATATATTTACTATTGTGTTATATATATATATATATATATATATATA